AACTCTTCTCTGATGTAAAACACTTAGTCTGTAACTCTTCTCTGATATAAAACACTTAGTCTGCAACTCTTCTCTGATGTAAAACACTTAGTCTGTAACTCTTCTCTGATATAAAACACTTAGTCTGCAACTCTTCTCTGATGTAAAACACTTAGTCTGTAACTCTTCTCTGATATAAAACACTTAGTCTGCAACTCTTCTCTGATGTAAAACACTTAGTCTGCAACTCTTCTCTGATGTAAGACACTTGGTCAACAACTTTTCTCTGATATAAAACACTTAGTCTGCAACTCTTCTCTGATGTAAAACACTTAGTCTGCAACTCTTCTCTGGTGTACGACACTTGGCTTGAAACTGCCAATTGCAATTTTTAATAAACAATTGAGTATGCCTTTTAGGAATTTTCTGTAAAATTTTTAGAGTGATGAGTAAGTCTTAACAGCAACTATTATGTTATTTAGATGTATCATAATGTTTTCTTGTCTGAAACATAAAATTTATTGTGTATATAGAGGTTAATCTTATAATGAATTTGGAGAATATTATATAACCCATCTTTTAGCTACTTAAAATCCTATATACAGGATTTTCGGGTGTGAAATACATGTTACGACCCTGATGCATTAATGTATTTGTAAGTTTAAAATATTGCCATCTTATTTAATGAAATGTATCCTTCCGTAGCCCGTACCTCCCGGAGTTGCTCCTAATGCTGCTCAGCTAGCCATGATGCAGGGGAACTCTATGATGGTAGGACAACAGAAGTCCAACTACTTATTAGGATCCAACAGTGGAGGTTACACCTTTTGGTAAATTGATATAGATTAGGGTAGCGTGGTTTTTACAACAAGGTTCCATCTGGTGGGGGGTCAAAGGCCCCATATTAGGATATGCCCTATGGGCTATATGCAAGCCATTGCCTTGATCCACAAGAAAAGTGATCTGTTTAGTAATTCTTTCATATATATAAATATATATATATATATGTACATTATAATGTCATAAAATCACTTTGGACTGAGAATACAAACAAGTGATAAGTTACAATACAATATACAACATTGTAGATGCTTCTAACGTATACTGTACCATACTTTCGGAGCTTTTTTTATTTACAAATCGACTGCATTCTGTCAATTGAGAAATAAAGTTGTAAATTAACATCCTTTAAAAATTGGCTTCAGACCTGATTTTTTTTTCGATATATATAAAGTGTTCATTTAGACATGAGAAGGTGTAGAAAGTAAACATAAGAATTCTAACACATTAGTAAAAAGAAAAAAATTAACTTCTTAAATGTATATTTCATAGTGTGTGTGAATTAACATTTAAAACTAGCTTATACACAGTATAAACAGAATCTAAAAGACTTACTGAGGTGGCATGCACTACAAGTGTAACAGTATCTTTTAACGCCATGTTCGATGCTTGTTTAAAAAGAAATGATTAACATGTGACACAGGGGTACTTCAAGGTATCATAATGTAGATCCAGAATAGTAATGTAGCACAATGAATATGTTTAAGTTTAAAACTGAACACAGTTTAAGAGTTCTAATAAGCTAGAAAAAAGTTTTAACCCAGTATGGCAAGACATGCGTATTCTAACCATCCATTTAGCGTAAGAAATTAATGTGTCTTAACCCTTTCCGGACGGGTCAAAGGCCGTGTCATCGCATTCAAAATTTTATTGAACTGCTATTTTATGAATTTATGTCAATAAGTTTGGTATCAAATTGTAGATTATAATTCAAATTTTAGTGTTATACATTATTTAATTTCTTAATTTAAAAGTAAATATTAAAAAACACACCTAAACTTCGATTTTTGTGTGTCATATGGTAAGTTGAATGCAGCACTGGTTAAAATTAGATGTTTGTGATGTCAAAGCACAAAGTCTATAGTTTTGTATGAATTAGGAAGTCAAATTAGTGATATTAACAAACTAGAATATAAAATAAGAATCTCCTATCTTTCCTATTTTCTGAGATATCGCTCATGTACTGAATCAAACACAGTGGTCCTGCTCACCTCATTTGATTTTTGTAAATGCTCCCTTATATAAACTTACTTCTGTCTATCACATGTGAATAACCAATCAAAACTCAGAATGTCCCCCTAGTGGCTTTCTCAGCCATATTCAAAGTATTACGACGTCACCTTGTTCTTTCGATACAAATCTTTAGTCTACTTGAAATTTCATATTTTTTTAGACCCAAATACAACTTAATTACTAAGCTTGATAAATTATAGTGGAATTCTATGGTATAAATATAGTAATTTATGATTTTTTTGGTTATTTCAAATGTATATATAAAAATCTAAAAAAAATTTTGTTTCACATCCTTCATGTGCAAAATTTTATAAGGCTTAGCAACCTATAACAAACAGCCAATGAGCACAAAGGTCACAACTAGAGAAGATAATTGTTTAGCTTTACTCTTTATTTACTTAGTTCTATTGTTAC